TTGAAAGCCGCTGCTATGGTGCTCCCATGGCTCTCCTTTGAAAGCCGGACCCTCTTCCCCAAGTGTCTCTTTCTACCTCCTGTGGCTTCATTTTGTTTTTTCTTTTTTTCAAGACATGGTTTCTCTGTGTAGTCCTAACTGTCCTGGAACTCGCTCTGTAGACCAGGCTGGCCTTGAACTCATAGAGATCTGTCTGCTGCTGCCTCCCAAGTGCTGAGATTAAAGGTGTGCGCCACCATACCTGGCAGTTTATTTTTATATCTATGTATATGTGATGTGCTTGTCTGTGTGTGCGCCATGTTCATGTAGTGACCATAGAAGCCATAAGAAGGTGCCAGACTCCCTGGATTAAGAGAAGTGCTCTTAATCACTGAACCATTTCTCTCATGCTTAAATTTATGTTAGAAATCTATTTTTACTTTATTTTATTGAGACACAGTCTCACCATGTCTTACGGTTGGCCTTGACCTTGGCATATAGATCAGGATGGCCTTGTGATGCACCTGCTTCCCAAGTGCACCACTGTACCCAGCAGAAATCTCTTTTTAATAAATTCCAGTCCTACTTATACTGGCTGATCCTAAAGTCCTTGCCTGGGGCAAATTCAAGGATGCAGCTTTCTGCTAGTAGAGGCCCCTGAAGGATGGTGATCTCAGTCGGCCAGCTCTATGCTGGGCTGTGTCCCCTGAAGGATAGGGACCTCAGCTGGCCCACTCATACTGAGTCGGTCTCCTACTGTATTGTTGGTGACCAGGCTGAACTGATAGAATCACGTTTAAGGGCCACTCTCCCGCAAGTCCGCTAGATTCCTTGCCTCTCTGAGAGGCTTTGAACACATTCTTTGACATTCCAGTCACCTTAAGGAAGGCCTTTAAATAGCCCTGGCTAACCAACTGAACAAGTTCGTACTATCTTATGCAATATAAGTGGACTTTTGAAGGCGTAAGTCACAGACAATCCCACACCAGTTTGGAATTATGATTAATATAATGGTTATTTATTCAAAGGGGAAAAAACTTACAGATTACCGTCCCAGACAACAGCCCCTCCGCGCGAACAGGAAAGGAGTCCAGGGGCCGGAAACGGAGCCGGAAGACAAAGAGAGAGTGGAGGACAGCCGCTGCTTTTTTTAAAGGGAGAGACCACGCCCCAATGGGCTGGTAACTCAGCGGCGATTGGCTGAAGGAACTCCCACAGCAGACTTTCTTTTCTTTTCCTTCCTTCCCTCTTTCTTTCTCTTCCTTCTTTTTTTGTTAAAACAGAGTCTCATATGTCCACCAGGGTGGCTTTGAGTTCCTCAACCAATTACAGGCATGAGTTACTCTGCCTGTCTGTGCTGGTGACGCAGCCCAGGGCTTTGTACATACAAGGGAAGCCAGTGCTATGCCAACTGAGTCTCATGACTCATGCACCTAGCTTAGTTCTTAAATTTTTATTTTATTTCATGTGCACAGATATTTCGCCTTCATGTGTATCTATGTACGGTTTCATGCCTATGGTCCATGAAGGCCACAAGAGGGTGTCAGATCCCGTGGAACTAGGAATAGACAGTTGTGAGCTACCATATAGGTGCCTGGAATCAAACCCAGGTCCTCTGGAAGTGCCGCCAGTGCTCTTAACTGATGAGCTACCTCTCCAGTTTCTCATGCACCTAACTTAACAGTCTTGAGTGGGGGCTGAGGAGATAGTTCAGTGGTTAAGAACACTGGCTGCTCTTTCAGAGGACCTGGGTTCAATTCCCATGGCATGCTCACAACTGTCTGTAACTCCAGTTCTAGGGGATCTGACACCTCCACACTAATGCACATAAAACAGAGTTAAATTTTTTAAAAAATTGGTTTAATTTGCAGGCAAATGGATGGCTCTAGAAAAAAAAAAAACATTGAGTGAAGTAACCGAGACCCAGAAAGACAAATATAATATGTACTCACTCATAAGTGGTTTTTAGACATAAAGCAAAGAGAAACCAGCCTACAGCTGAACCTAGACAACAAAGAGGACCCTAAGAGGGACATACATAGGAAGGAGAAAAAGACAAGATCTCTTGAGCAAAATGGGAGAATGGGAGTCACAGGAGAGTGTAGAAGGGGAGAGGGGAAGAAGGGAGGGGAGCGGAGAAAAATATATAGCTCAATAAAAGAAAAAAAATAGTTTAAAAAACAGTCTTGAGTGAAGACAGCCTTGCCCTGCCTTAGTAAACATCGCTGAATAGTTTCCAGCATTTTAAAGGTTGATGTCTGACATTCAGTTTTACAGGATTTTGTCATTCCTATCTTGAACTGTGCTGAGCCTGCCATGTTCGCCCCATAGGGTCAGGAATAAAAGAGTGCTGTGGGGGGGGGTGATAGTCTGAGGGCTTGGCCTTTTGGCAGAGCTACGGGAGGGGCCAGTGCAAGAATGCAAGGACAGCTGCACTGCCCGCATCCTATGCAGGCAGAGATGGGTGGCACAGCGGAAAAAGGGAGCCAATTATTTGGGTTAGGTGCTAAGCTTGAGTCAGTGAGTGGGAAGCAGGCACTTGTATAATCCAATCCAAGTGACTCCTGGCATTGACAGTGGCAAGGGGCAGTCCCTCCTTGCTCAGCATTATCAGAAAGGTCGAAGAGAAACAGCGGGACAGGCATTTCTGTGGGAGGTCTGTGTACATTTGAATTGGATATGGTTTTGGAATCAGGACAAAATAATGAGGCTAGCTATGACAGAGAATAAGGGTTCAAAAAATGGGTGCATGCAGTCAAGCTAAGAAACGGCACAATAGGGGGCTGGTGAGTGCCTGGCTTCCCTCTGCCCTTCCTTCCTATCTGCATTATCCCTTCTCTGTGGGACCACACCCATCCACAGACAGACACCTTCTGATGCTACAGCATCTTCTTTCTTGCAGTGTGCTCCTCTCAGAGTTGCTAGACGCAGAGGTTTGAATGTGTCCTCCAAAGGTTCATGGACTGAAGGCTTGGTCTCTAGTGGGTGACACTGATGTGTGGGAAATTAAAGAAGGAGGGCCTAAGTTGGGCTTGGGGGACATCAGATTCTGAACCTTTAGACCCGAGACTGAGTTTGTTTTATTGTCTGGAGACAAGGTCTCGGGTTGATCAGGCTGTCCCGGATCTCCCTATGTAGCCAAGTGTAGGCGTGTGCCAGATTCAGCTAAATCAGAGCTTGTAAATCCCTTTTCTTTACAAAGTGCCTTCTATCTGGTACTGTGTTGTCGCACATGGTGGATTAGTGCAGGAGGTCAGTACTGTGAGATTAAAGTTGTAAGAGATTGTGACTTCTGTCTGGAACATGCCCACAGCTCTTCCTCCCACATCTGCTGGCTTCCATGGTCTGAGCTGCCCTGTAACCTTTTGGAGAGGCCTCTAAAAGACAAGGGAACACTGG